CTGGTTATATTGAATCTTATTTCCCTTAAGCAATCTTCCTTTCTCTAGATCATTTAGAAGAATTTTCTTGAATGAGATCAAATAACACCAATTGATTTTTCTTTTAGTGTAGTGTCAAGTACATAGTACTTTAAAAAAAAAAAATCATGATTCAGCCAGTCTTCCTCCATTGCTAGCTGAATCCAGTCACATCTTTTCTGCCCTCACCCCTTTCCTGAAGTACTTCAAAACCATCTCTGCTTTCTGCTCACCTGAACCAGAAACCTGGATAGTACTGTTTTCACGCAATTTTCTATTGCTGTTACACTATATTATTGTTAGTTTCCATCCAGTGAATTTCTACACATGGTGACCTCAGGTGACCCTAACATTTTCAAGACTTATCTTTCGGAAGCAGATCACTATCCCTGTCTTTTGGAACCACCAATCTTTTGGCTAGTTTTTAAGTGCCATCAAGTAGGTTCCGACTCATCGTGATCCTGTATAATAGGGCTTTCGAAGAGCGGTTGGTGAGTTTGAACCACCAACCTTGCAGTTCAAACCAACTTTGTGGTCCAGTGCTTTGTCCTACAGCACCACACCAGGACCTTTGGCTAGTTGTTGTTAAGTGCCGTTGAGTCGGTTACAACTCATAGGAACCCTGTATAGGGTTTCTAAGGAATGGCTGGTGAGTTTGAACCACTGACCTTCGGTTCAGACTGAGCTTGAAGTTCAGCGCTTAAAGCCGCACACCATACCAGGACTCCTTTTGGCTTGTAGGTATGCACTTAGCTCTTTACACCACTCAGTTTCTCTCCACTGCCACTAGACTCTACTATTTTTCTCTGCCTTCAATATTGTTCCCTCAGTTTTTTCTTCTACATGGCTGTCAGAGTAATCTTTCTAATATACAGCTTTGACCAACTCTTGCCAAAAACAGATCCATCTTCTTAGCTTGATTTCTGATTATCTCAGAAGGTGATAATATGGCAGAGAGGATGTCCAAAGTCCCCAGCTGCTCCATCTCTCCATGTCATCATCTCTGCCTCTATCTCTGGCTTCACTGCTTCCCTGGGTAGGGTTCTTCTCTCCGCTCTTCCCCCTAGATGATCCCAGGGACCTCTGCTCCTAGACTGAAAAGTTAATCACTCCCCTCCTTGCTACAAACCGTCCACCTTTATATTTCCAACCCTCACAATCAGTCCAGATAACAATTATTCACCATTGTATCGCAAGAGACCTATCTGCTTCTCCTTTCATCAGCCCCGCCTAGACAGATTGGATACTGCTCAGTGAAGATTCTACCTTCCTCCATGCCCTCTGGATCTAGGTTCCCTCTTGAAAGCTTGTAAGCCAGTCACTTCTTCCCTCTGTGACCTCCCCTTCCCCCCCCTTTCTGGGTAGCCAATGTCCAAGTTGCCCATCCCTGTCCTCTACTTGTGTGGAGGGGGTGGGAGTGATCCTCACTGTGAAGATTTGCTCCCTCTTTTGAGCTACTGCTTCCATAGGTGTAGGTCAGGTTCATCAAATTGTATCAGATTATTCTTTTTTTCCTCTTCTTTCTTCTGGTTGAGCTCTGATCATCCAGCCATTGAAGCCAGGTCAAGTGGATATTATCTGCAAGTGTGGATGTAGTTATGCATGTGCCCTCTCTTCTTATCAGCTGGATGCTTCACTCTTCACTCTAGTCGTCTGTGGCTGTGTCACTGACTCTGGGCCCAAGAGTCCTCAGGTCTTGCCACACTGCTGGCCAGCCAGGTCTCCAGCCGGGTTCACAGGAGTCCATTAAATGTTGTAGGGCTTAGCTTGCAACTCCACTGCTGCCCTTCCCTCACGTCCCCCTATTGGGGTGAACTTGGTCACCAATCAGAGCATGTATTCCCATTGGGTCCCAGCCTTCAAAAGAGGTTTACCCTGAGGGGATCAGACCACTTGCCTTCATGTCTCCTGGGCAAGCGATCCACTTGTTTGTTCTTAGAGTATTCAGTTGATCTGCCTGTATTGTTTGGTCTTTTTCCTGTCAGTCTTTCTTTCAGGAAGTTTCTTTTGTTCTTCTGGCCTCTCCAGTCTGGTCTGCGTATCCTTTCAAGTGGAAATTTCCCCTCAGAAGATTCTGGATGCTGTTCAGGAATCCACCTTTGGTCTTGTAATTACACAGACTTTTACAGTCTTCACTTTGCTTTATATTACTCTCTATTCCCTTGTGTTTTGGGGCTTTTTGTTGTCTGAAATATCATATCCTGAAAACCAACCTTAGAATCTAATCTCCTAAACATTCAAAAGTGATAATAAATCAATTTAGCATTAATACAAGAATTTTCCCTTGCCTCTTTATTTCAACATGGCTCTCTCCACTTTAAGGATTTCAGAATATTCTTGTTAGTTGCCATACAAAGACGAGAACTCATAGTGGCCTGTATATAGAACAGAATGAAATATTGCGTAGCCGTGGGCATTTTCATGATCATTGGGGGTTTGAATTTATTTGGTAGCTACTGTGTCATTCCATCTCATTGACGTTTTCCCCATTCTCACTGACCCTCTACCAAGCATAATGTCGTTTTCTAGTTATTGGTCTTTCTTGATGACATGTCTAAATTTGCTAAGCCTTTCTAACTGTGTTTTTTCCCCACCTGAAGACAGAAGATTTTCTAGCTTTCTAGATTCTGTGGATAAAATTAAAGTAATAGAGTTTTAGTAGGCTATAGTAATTAACATTTGTTTTTACAATTAATGGTTGTCTAACTTGGGATAATTTCTTTTTACATTTTTCTTATAGTATAGCTGAAATACAGAAAGATGTGGAATACAGATTACCATTCACCGTCAACAACCTGACTATTAACATTAATATGTGAGTAGAATTACATGCATCCTATGCTGTCATGTAATAGGACTTTTAAAAAATCTTTATTGCTGTCTGTGTTAGTTTTTATTAGAAATAACTTTTCTAAAGTGAACTTACTCTAAATATTCACTTTCTAATTAGAATTTATACTATGAACACATTATAGTGAAATACTTTTTGAAAGGTGGCACTGTAACTGATTTATATTGCTGTAACAATAAATACAAGAAAAATATGTAATAACAATCCTTATTGCTCTAATAATTTTTATTGATCTGCAGTAAAGTCTTTCCGGGAGCTAGACTGAGAATCAGAATGATAATGACAAATAATCCAAAGGATCATATGTGAAAACCATTAGAGATGTATTTTTATATCAGAAACAACTGAAAATACTCTCATTTCAGCACCAGCAATATATCAACCAGAATATTAAAGGTTACATTTTATTTACTGGTTAATATTAAGGAAAAAAACTTTTAAGATAAAAATATAATCTTGAGTTTAGTATTAAGTTACAATAGAGAAATATTATACAAATAGTCTTAAGTGTTATTCTTAGTCTGTAATATGAAAGAATTAAATTGTTTCCTCAGATTGTGTTAGGTGACTGATAGCTAGACAAAGTTCTTGGATCCGATTAAATGGTACCTAACTTCAAGACAGAAACCGTATCTTCTTCATTATATCCTCATTGCCTAGCATAGTGCTTGTTGTTTTGGTTAGGTGCCATCGAGTTGGTACCGACTCATAGTGACCCTATGCACAACAGAATAAAATGCTGCCCAGTCCTAGGCAAACCTCACATTTGAACCCATTGATGCTGCCACTTCGCCAATCCATCTCACTGGTGGTCTTCCTCTTGTTCTCTGACCCTCCACCTTAACAAACATGATATCCTTCTCCAGCGACTGGTCTCGCCTGACAATATGTCCGCAGTGTGAGGCAAAGTTTGGCCATCCTGGCTTCCAAGGAGCACTCTGGCTGCACTTCTTCCAATACAGATCTGTTTGTTCTTTTGGCAGCCCATGGCACTTTCAGTATTCTCCTCCAACACCATAACTCAAAAGCCTCAATTCTTTTACGGTCTTCCTTATTCACTGTCCACATAATACTAAAAAAACTCATTACCATTGAGTTAATTCTGCCTTGTTGTTGCTGTTAGGTGCCATTGAGTCGGTACTGACTCATAGCAACCCTGTGCACAACAGAACGAAACACTGCCCTGTCCTGGACTAACGTCACAGTTGTTGCCATGCTTGAGCCTGTTGATGCTACCACTTTGCCAATCCATCTCTCTGGGTGTCTTCCTCTTTTTCTCTGCCCCTCCACCTTACTAAACATGATATCCTTCTCCAGTGACTGGTCCTTCTTGGCAGTATGTCCGAAGTATGAGACACAAAGTCTGGCCATCCTGGCCTCCAAGGAGCACTCTGGCTGAACTTCTTCCAACACTGTTCTTTTGGTAGCCCATAGTAATTTCAATGTTCCCCTCCAACACCAAAAGCATTGATTCTACAATTTCCTTATTCACTGTCAAGCTTTCACATGCATATGAGGTTATTGAAAATACCATGGCTTGGGTCATGCGCACCTTAGTCCTCAAGCTGGCATTTTGGCTCTTCAACACTTTAAAAAGGTCTTGTGCAGCAGATTTGTCTAATGGCAATATGTCATTTCATTTTTTGACTGCTGCTTCCATGAGTGTTGATAGTTGATCCAAGAAGAATGAAGTCTTTGACAACTTCAATCTTTTCTCTCTTGATAAGAATGTTATTTATTGGTCCAGTGGTGAGTTTTGTTTTCTATACATTGAGATGCAATCCATACTGAAGGTTGTGCTCTTTGATCTTCATCAGTATTTTAAGTCCTCTTTACTTTCAGCAAGCAAGGTTGTATCATCTGCATATCGCAGGTTGTTAAAGAGTGTTCTTCCAATCATGATGCCATGTTTTTCTTTATATAACCCAGCTTCTCAGATTATTTGCTCAGTGTACAGGTTAAATAAGTATGGTGAAAGAATACAACCCTGTTGCACACCTTTCCTAATTTTAAACCATTCAGTGTTCCCTTGTTCTGTTTGAGTAACTGCCCCTTGGTCTGTAATACTTAACAATGTTGCCCATAGCTTGTCATGATCCACATAATCGAAAGCCTTCGTGTAGTCAATAAAGTATAGGTAAACATCTTTTTAATATTCTCTGCTTTCAGCCAAGATCCATCTGATGTCAGCAATGGTATCTCTCATTATACATCCTCTTCTGAATCAGATTGAACCTCTGGAAGTTCTCTGTCAATATGTGGTTGCAGCCGCTTCTGTATTACCTTTAGGAAAACTTTATTTCATGTGATATCAAAGAGATTGTCTGATGATTTCCACATTCTATTGGGTCACCTCTCTTTGGAATGGGCACAAATATGGATCTCTTCCAATCAGTTGGTCAGATAGTTGTCTTTCAAATTTCTTTGCAGAGATGAGTGAGTACCTCCTGTGCCACCTCACTTTGTTGGAAGATTTCAGTTTGTAACTCCACCTCATGGTGGTTGTGGTTATGTGCCTTGGAGTGGATTCCGACTTAGAGCAACCCTGTACAGGATTTCCGAGGCTATAAATGTTTACGGGAGTAGAGAGCCTCATCTTTTTCCTGTGGAACAGCTGCGACTGTATAATTCCGAGAACTGCTTCCTAGGGTATTCAAGTCTGTATATCTTTTATTTTACTTTTAAAATTTTTTATTGTGAACTGAGTGATAGTTTACATGGGAATACATTGACTTTACACCATCATTGCACTGCAATGGATTACAGTCTCCTCCATGCATCATCTTTCAACAGTATTTGCTTCCATTCCCTCTGTTTTTTTTTTTTTTTTTTTTTAGGGGGAAATGTACACAAAAACACTCAGGAATATATAATAATTTAAACAACCAAAGGGCAGGTTCTGCAAGCCTTCCTCTTGGCCACCAGCATTCAGTCCTTCTCTTTCCATGAATATACATCTCTCATGTCACTGCTTCTCTGGATAGGGTCCTCCATTCTGCTTGTGCTCTTCTCCCTTGATGGTCCTAGGGTCCTCTGTTTCTGGACTGTCAGATTAACTAGTTCCTGTTTTGGTTAAAGAACTTCTATCTTTACAGTTGTGACAGTCGCAGTTAGTCATGATAACAATTACTCACTGTTGAATCATAAGAAACTTATCCCCATCTCTTTTCACCAGATGCGTCTAGACAAAAACTATTCAGTGGAGATTCTATCTCCCCTCACACACTCTTAAACGAAACTCCCTCCATCTTGAAAATTTTTAAGCTAGTCAAGATCTGAATATCAAGCCATCGACGCTAGGTCAAATGGGTATTATCGGCAAATTTGGGTGTTCTCGTGCATCTTCCCTTACTTCATATCAACTTCACACTCAGCTCTAGTCCTCCATGGGTATGTCCTTGTCCATGAGCTCAGGAGTCCCCAGGTGTCATCACACTTTGGGCTGACCCAACCAGTCCTTCGTCTCCTCTAATATCCAGGTCAACGGGAGTGTATGGAACATGGTTGATTTTATCCAATTTCTTCATTGCTGTCTTTCCCCATCTTCCACTCACCAGTAGACCAATGTGGTCGCCAGCAAGCTTACATGCCTGCTCATGTGTACCCTTTGAGTTTCAGTGTTATAGGGAGTTTGTCCTGAAGGGACTTGATTGCTTATCTTGATGGCTTCCTGGCAAACAATTTGCTTATTTTTGTAGTTACCATATTTGTTTTGGGTTTTTCCTGATGATCTTTCTTTGAAGATATATCTTCTGTTGCTCTAGCTCTTCCAGGCTGGTCTGCTTATCCTTTCTAATGGGAATGTCTCACTTCAGAAAGTTCTGGATGGGGCTCAGGATTCCACCTAAGGTCATATATACTGCCAAGGCTCTTCAAGAGGCCTATTTCACTGAGCAAGTCCTAGAACCGCAGTCCAGTGCTTATGCTACAATACCACACCAGACTCATAATGACCCTGTATAGGGTTTCCTGGATAGGTGAGTGGCTGGTGAGTTTGAATTGTTGACCTTGCAGTTCAAACCACATCTCAGTTGAGTACTTAGCCTACAGCACTACACCAGAACTCCACAGTAGGCCTTTTCAAATACTAGTTGAATTAATTAATTAAAACATGAATATATAACTGTGTCAAGCATTATACTAAGTTAATTTTATATACAAGAGACTTCAAAAAGTTCAAGGAAAAATTCCTGTGTTGTTTTTTTTAATTCCATTTTTTTCCACAAAATTTTTGAAGGCCCCTACCTAGCATGTGAGCTATAGCACCTGAATTTTGGAGTCTTGGTTTAGCGCTGTAAGATGAACACTGGACCACCAGGTTGGTTTGAACTGCAAGTCCATTGTTCAAACCCATCAGCCGCTCCTCAGAAACCCTATACAGTGTCGCTATGAGTTGGAACTGATTCATAAAAATAACAACAATAACAGTGTTATTATGTGAGCCTTTGAGATCCACACAATATCCTTGCAAATTAGGGCAAATTACAAACACATAGATAATGAATAGCATAGGCAGGATACAAATTAACTTGGTTGGGCTCCAAAGACCATTCTTTGCCTTTTTGCTCAACTAGTTTAACCATCTTCAACTAAATGAGGGGCCTTCAGGAAATGCGTGGAAATTTTTTATGAAAAGGTAATGGGCTTTCCCACAAACTTTGTGAGGCCCAATTGTATAACTGCAAACACCTCATTCACTAATAGCAATTTTGTATCAGTTCCAAAGAAGCTTAAGATAATTCACTTTTTTTTTGTTTTGAGAGTTTACTATTCTTTAGTTGAAATCATGTGATTGACATCAAAGATGGGAGAGGTGTTAATTGGAAAATTTAGAAGGGAGCTGTGTAGAACCAAGGTTGCAATGGTTCATGCCTAATACTTTCCATTTTATCCACCTTCCTGTTTAACAAAATATTGGGAAATAATTCTTGGCAACACTTTAAAAGTAAAAATCTTTGCTGTTGAGTTGATTGTGATTCATAGCAACCTTATAGAACAGAGTAGAACTGCCCTATAGGGTTTTCCGAGGCTGCAAATCTTTACAGAAGCAGACCTGTCACATCCCTTCTTCCATGGAGCAGCTGGTGGGTTCAAGCAACCAACCTTTCAGTTAGCAACTGAGCACTTTAACACTGCCATCGGACTCTTAAGAAACCCACAAGGAAAGTTATATGGCCCGACTCTGTCGTCTAATAATTAGCCAGATTGCATTGGTAAGATTCACCCACTACAAATGCCTGATCTAGTTTTGAGCTGACATTTTGTCTAGTTAGTATATTGTGTTTCAGAGCTATTGATTGGCATGGTGTAAAGAATATTCTACAGTTCAGGATATATGTATTTCACATTGAGAAGGTTTTACTTTATTAACTTTATAGACTTGTCAAATTGTAACCTTTTGTATATTTGCAGTGAATTCAACACCCATAATAGAATACTTATAATTAAATAATCTAAATGAATGTGTGAAAATTTAATTTGCTTTTAACTTTGATTTAGGATTGTTAACTATATAGTTTCAGTATGTAATCTATGGTCTTTGTTTTTGTTTTTCTTCTGTTCTCTCATTACTAGATTGCTTCCTCCTCAATTTCCTCAGGAGAAACCAGTGATCAGTGTTTATCCACCAATACGACATCACTTAATGGATAAACAAGGAGTTTATGTTACCTGCCCATTAGTAAACAATGTATGTATACGGAATCATTTATTTCAGAGTAATATAATGGCTGTGCTGCTACTTTTGTACAAAATAGTTTAGAATGTGTCATTCCATACTTAAGAAAGAATAAAATTCAGATATGCCTAAAAGTTCTTAATATATGTCTGAGAGGCTTCAAAAAGTTCATAGAAAAGTGGAAATAAAAGATAATGGAATTATTCCAGGAACTTTTGAAGCTCCCTGGTGTGGTGTTGTATGCTAATGCATCAGACTGCAAAGTCGTTTGAACTGCAAGGTTGGTGGTTCAAGCTCACCAGCTGCTCCTTGGAAACCCTATACAGGGGTTGCTATGGGTCAGAACTGACTCGACAGCACTTAACAACATATATGATTAACATGTGGGACTATAACTTAAATATACTCAGTGTTTACTCTTGACTCTTAATAACTATAAATAATGAAATATTTCAAAGCCATTATTGATTAAGTAGACTTCTGACCTGATTTGTTAATGTGTCAGACTACAAAGCTGTTTGAACTGCAAGGTCTGTGGTTCAGTCTCACCAGCTGCTCCTTGGAAACCCTATACATGGTAGCTATGGGTTGGAATTGACAGCACTTGACGACAACAACAACATGAGCAAAAAGAATTCTGGTAGCATAGTGATTATGAATTGGGCTGCTAATCTCAGGGTTAGCAGTCTGAAACTACCAGCTGTTCCATGGGAGAAATATGAGGCTTTCTGCTCCCTTAAAGATTTACAACCTCAGAAACATACAGGGTCACTATGAGTGGCAGCCGACTTGGTGGCACACAACCACCACCACTAATATTCATGATATTGGGTCTATGAGAAAAGATTCTAAGTTGTGGATTGTCATTGTTTTTAATTGACACAATACCTTTCCTTTTCATTTAATTCTTGACTTATAAAAGTGAATTGAGATATAAATTTCAGAGTGACTTTACCCTAGTGAGACCTTATAGTCTTCTTTTTCTGAAAGTCATTTTAGTCTTCCTGTATAATTTTTGTTTTCAGTTTACAATGCATTCAGATCTTGGAAAAATTATTCAGAGTTTATTGGATGAATTTTGGAAGAACCCTCCAGTTTTGGCTCCTACTTCAACAGCATTTCCATAGTAAGAATATTTATAGTAAACTTAAAATTTTGCTTATATTTGGTTTTATTTTATCAAAATAATAAAAAAATAGTTTAAAAAATCAAATGATGTTAAAAGACAATGTGCCTATTAGTACATCCCCCCTTTTATATAAATACGTTTACACTTGTTGAAGGCAACTGAGTTTTACTCTTTTGGCTGTTTCTTCTACTATTTGTGTACATCTTTCTGAATAAGCCAATCTCTTGATGCTTTCATTTTTGTTATTATCTTTTGATATCTTATTATAGTGGATAGCATTTTTCACAAAACTTCACCCTCCCTGTTAAATTACTTCATGATTTTTATTTAAATCCTTATTTGGTGTTTTCAGTATTTTAACTTTCTAAATATTTTTCATTAGAAGACCAGTTTAATTTTCTACTCCTTTCAGCAGCTCTGAAAATCATTATCATCAAAATAATTTGACCAGACATTGTTAAACCTGTCTGGTGATTTCTAGGTTTCATTGTTTTCTTTGCAGACTTGCCTCCAGTTTTTCCTTCATTATGAACAAATTACTTTTTACATCAGCTACGTAGTTGTCACCTACGGACTTCCCTTTGATGTCATCCTGGGGTTTCCTTTTGCTCTTTCCTATATTAGATTTTCCATTTCCTGGATCCTGTGTTTTTCAGTTTCTTGGTGAATTTTTTAGTTTCTTGTTGAACTACCTTCCAGTAACTTCCTAAGTTAAGGTATGTTCCAGGTACAAAGGATGCTCCACTTTTTTGCATTAGCTGATGTGGCTTGAAGTCTGGGGGTTGACAGCTCATTTATGTCACATGCCTAACAGTTAATATTGACCATATGCTGAGATATTAGTTGAGGATGTCAGGCATATATTTATATGTAACTTCTCCATGTGGCCCAGGCTTCCTTATGTGATGGCAGTTAGGTTCTAAGAGCAAGCATCCCAAGGAGTGCAAGCCAAGTGGAAGCTATATTGACTTTTGTAACATAGCCCTGCATGTTTTTAAGCAACATTTCTGTTGTATTATGTTTGTAAAACTTAGTCACAAAGTCCCTATCTGGTTCGCAGGGGAGGAGAAATAGACTCTGACTCTTTGGGGTGGGGGTGGGGGGTGAAGTTTTGGAACAGCAAGTGGGACTAGAAATAATAATGATGTAGCTATTTTTGGAAAATAAAGTGTCACAGTTTTACTCCTGGACCCAATAATTCTCATCTCTCTTACTCGCAAAAAACGTACTCACCTCTTTCCTTCAAGAACTAGCATAGTTCCTGCCTTTATAGACTCAAGCTCCTTCCAGATGTCACTAAAATCAGGTTTGACACCAGTGAGTTTCCCAGGTGCGATTCTCAGGACAGCTCCTTAAGACAAGTCGATTAAAGAGACGGTTAGCTGCCCTGTCATGCCACGATAACACAGACCTGGGATAACACTCTTACTCAATAGGGAGGAAATGGGAGGCACATGGGAGCCGCTGGTTCATAGCAATTCAGAAATCCAGCTGGGCACAGTGTCCATTCTTTGATTAGGACTTAGTCTTACTTCACGGGAATACTACTTTACAGAATCGCTGTAACATTTGTATGCAGCTCAGGAGTTTATTTTCACCCTGCCTCCTCCCCTTAGAAATTTAAGGGTCCACATTTAGGGTCCTTTTCATTTAGTGCAATCTCTGCCCCTTTTAGATCAAGATGATACAGTTCCTTTTTTTTTCCATATTAAAACAGCCATAATTGAAATTTTTATTTTCCATACCAAGTGTTGGCATTGTTTTTGTTGTCAAGATGTGTGTCGTGTAATCCATTCAAGATGATCACTTAGTCCAAGTTAATGACGCTTATAGCCTTCAAGAGTACTGACGGAAGCACTAGGAGCACATACTGAGGCCATATTTCTGGATTAGACCATGCCGGTTTGAGCACACATGGCAAGAGCAGGAACCCTGGTTGAATTTTTGCGGGTGGCTCCTGTAGAGTTGCTGGTGATCCATCTTGCTTTGAGGAATACACCAAGGCAAAAGGCTACAATGTTTTGTTTTTAAAGTTTTTATTGAGTGAAGGTTAACAGAGCATATCAGTTCTCCCTTATAAAATACATACATGTTTTGTTTCATCTCATTAATTGCAGTCCCCACAATATAACATCGTTTATTCCATTTCCTCCCTGTGTTTTCTGTTTCCATTCCTCCTCCTTTGCTAAGCCAAAGTTTGTCTTTGGGTAAATACTGACTTTTTTTTTTATCTCAAATGATTGATTATTCTAAGGTGTGTATGCCTTACTAGTGTCATCACTGCCTTATAGATCTATCTGTTGTTTTGCTGAAAATTGAGTCTTTCTCTTACATTTTACTTTCACTGAGACTTTTGAGAGACAATGTTGTCAAAAACATTAGAAGCCCTAGGATGCCTTTTGTCTAAATGACAGTTTTCAGAGAACCTTGGTTCAGGTTCTTTCAGAGATCTTACCAAAGAAGTTTCTAGCTTCATTCTCAACTTGATCTTTGCACTGAAATTTTTTCTTCCATAGAACTCTCAGAGAATCTGGGAGTGAGAGATGGTTTCTAATTTGAAATCCAGGAAGTCCTGTCTCTTATATTTAATACTTCTCTTTATTTTTTTTCTCTCACATTGTAGAGTCAGTCAGATTTTTCAACATTGCCTAGAAATATCCTTAGCTAGATCATCCAATACACTAGATACGTTTTCTATTTTCCACTTTATTCTAAGCAAACAGTATTGGTAATCTGTCCTTTAATATGTAGCAAAGGTCCCCTTCCAATAACTTTCCTCACTTTTCCTTTACACGCTCATGAACAGCCTCCTCAAAGAACTATCAGGCTCTTCAAGTCAATCTTGTTGAGGACCTTCAGGCTGGCACACTCTCCTGAGGGTACTTCCACTTCAGCCACCTGCTCAAACCCAGAGTTACTCCTGTGTTTTAGGGGTTTTTGGTCAAAGCCGTGTTCCACTTCCACGTCACAAAATGTGTTCTAAGGTTGTATATCCAATGACTCACAAAATTATTGCTTAGAACCATGAAAATAATATTTTGCTTGCTAATTTGCAACAATGTTCATTGGGGTGGTTGAAAGGCTGGTGACTAGAATCACCCAAAAGCAACTGACTTAGTCACTTGTCTGGCAGTTGATGCTGGTGCTCAGCAGAAGCTTCATGTGGAGTTAACAACTAGAAAATCTAGATCTTACTTCCTTGTGTTGTGTGTCTTCAAAATCCCCTTAGTTTTGTTAGTTTGTACAGTTAAAAAATTTTTTCTAGGTTGAAGTGGTTTTTCACTCAGAATTATGAAGGCATTGTTCTGTAGTATATATAGAAGGATGAGTTAAAAAAAATATTGCTCTTAGAGTTCCAATTCATACATACATGGGTTTATTTACATAAAACATGTTTAAACATGTCTTTCGGATCACTGGTTGGCTGCAGACAAATTCTCTCAGTAATACACTTGTCTTAGTCTTCTTAGGGTGCCTTCAAAAATAGGTCTACTCAAAAATAGTGACTTCTGAGGGAATCTGATGGGCAGTTAAATTCAAGACAGAGAGGTCAACTAAGAAGATTATGGTGACTGGTTTTGTTTTTTGTTTTTGTTTCTTTTTTTTTGGTATTCCAAAGGGGTAATCTAGTTAGATTTTCTTGAAGGACACAGGATGATCACAGGGACTTAATATGAATAAGTTTTAAGAAAATTAAAAATTGCACTGGTGAGAAAAGGGTCAGGAAAGTTGCTGCAAGATACACATTTTTTCTACTACAACAGTGCATTCTTTGAGGGTAGGAAAGCTGTCCTAGGGTAATTTCATTGGAAAACCTTATTCCATACACCTTAGAGCCCGGATCTTGTCCTTCAGACTTCTTTTTGTTCCCCAAACTCAAAGAACATTGAAAAGGAGTATGACTTAAATCCCTCGAGGATACCAAAACTGGTGTTTTGATGTGGTGTAAATCAAGTTAAAATTTTTCTGGAAGTTTTAGAGATGGAAACCTTACCTTCAAAAGTGTATAGACCTAAAAAAAAAAAGTGTATAGACCTACCTAGATGTCAGAAACAGTAACTTCACATTTTTAAAAGTGGTTTACTTTCTTCTTGTTAGTTGCCATCAAGTTGGCTGCAGCTCATGGTGACCTTAAAATGAAACGTTGCCTAGTCCTTTTCCCTCTTCATGATCATTGGTATGTTAGAGTCTCTTGTGGTGGCTATTGTGTCAGTCCATCTTACTGAGGGTTTCCCTCATTTTCATTGGCTGTTTACTTAAAATTTGGTGAGTCAGAGTCTTGCCATCCTCACTTCTAAGGAACGTTCTGGTAGTTGTTCTTCTAAGACTTGATTTGTTTGTTCTTCGGGCACTTGATGATATATTCATTATTCTTTGCCAACACCACAGTCTGAACTCATCAATTATTCTTCTGTTTTCATATGCATATGAAGCAATTGAAAAGACCAGGTATGTTTGAATCAGACATACCTTGTCATCAAAAGGGACATCTTTGCTTTTTCAAACATTAAGAGGTCTTTTGTAATAGAGTTGCCTAATGCAGTGTATCATTTAATTTTATTTCACTGCTGCTTCCTTCCATGGGTATTGGTTTTTGGGGCCAAGTAAAACAAAATCCTTGACAGCGTCAATCTTTTCTCCATATATCAAGAAGCTTCTTTTTTCTTCTTTTTTATCATGAAGCTTCTTATTGGTCCATTTGTTTCTTTATTTTGAAGTGCAATCCATATTGCAACCTTTGATCTTCATCAGTAAGTCTTTGCTTTCAGCGAGCAAAGTTGTGTCATCTGCATATTACAGGTCGTTAATGAGTCTTCCTCCAGTCCTGAAACCCTATTCTTCATATTGTCCTGTTTCTCAGATTATTTCTTCAGCATATAGATTAAGTAAAATGAAAGGTTACAACTTTGCCACACACTTTTGCTAGTTGTATGTGAACCATACAGTGTCACCTTGTTTTGATCAAACAACTGCCTCTTGATCCTTACACAGGTTCTGTATGAGCATAATTAAACCAAAACCAAACCTAATTCTGACTCATTGCAACCCTATAGGACATAATAGGACATAGTAAAATGGCCCTGTCACCTTTCTGAGACTGTAAATTTTTCTCCCATGGATGCTTCAAGCATTTAGTCACTGAGCCGTCAGGACTCTTTTGAGCCCAATTAAGTTTTCTGAAATTCCCATTCTTTACAATGTAACCCATAGTTTGTTATGATCCACACAGTCAAATGAATGTCTTTGTATACTTGAAAAAACACAGATATACATCTTTCTGCTTTTCTTTGCTTTTGCAAAGATCCATCTGCCATTAGCAGTGATATCCCTTATTCCACATTCTCTTCTGAAACCAACTCAAACTTCTGGCAGGTCCCTGTCAATGTACAGCTGTACATTGACATTTTTTAAAGTTAACTTCAGCAGAATGTAGCTAGTATATGATAGTAATGATGCTGTTCGATAATTTCTGCATTCCATTTGATTGCCTTTCTTTGGAATGCACATGAATGTGCATCTGTTCCATTTGTTTGGCCAGATAGCTGTCTTCCCAATTTCTTCACATAGACGCAAAAGAGCTTTCAGGGCTGCATCAGTTTGTTGAAGCATCTCAATTGGCATTTAATTCCTGGAGCCTTATTTTTACCAGTCCCTATAGTGCCGCTTGAATTGACTTCAAGCTTGCTATTAAGTTTAAAATAAAGCAAGTTGGTTCAAAATTATTAAGATACTAATTCAGGGAGAGTATAGTATTTTCTCCAGGCAATGTTTCGTTCTGCTGTGCATATAAGGTCGCTATGAGTCAGTACCGACTCAGTGGCACCTAGGAACAACAACATAGTATTTTCTCATGTTGATCATATTGTTTTTCAAATTACATATTCACATAATTCAGTAATTCAGTAATACCTTTAAAGTTAAGATAAAAATCAGCCATTCTTTGAAATTAATAATATCAGAAAGCTTTTATTTTATTTAATATTTGGAATGGGTCCTATATTCATTTTGCTCAAAATTTAAAAAGTATAAAGGCATATGGAATGAAAAGTTTCATTTTTCTATCCCTCCTTTTTCCCTTGCAACTTAGTTTTTCTCATCTAAAGTGGTTCTTTTGTGTGGATGTTTATATAATACACAAGTTTGAAGGGGCTTCAGAAAGTTCATGTACAAATGGAATTGAAAGATAATGGAATTTTTCCATGAGCTTTTTGAAGCCCCTCATATGTATATGTAGTATTTTATTCCCTTTCTTTACCACAAATGGTGCCACACTTTATTATTATTATTTTACTAAATTGTATAAATTGGTGAGCTTTTCATGCTACTACATCAGGTGCTTCCTCATTCTTTTTTATGGCCACAAAGTATTCATTTTATGGATGTACCATCATTTTATTTAACAAGACTCCTATTGATGATATTTTTGTTGTTTCCAATTTTTCCTAAAAGGCCTACCTTTCATCTTTGCCCTCAGTGCTGCAGTGAATAATCTTAAAAAATAGTATTTTACCCAAATGTGAGTATATTTGTTGTGTTGGATAAATTCTAGAAGTGGTATGCACATTTGTAATTTTGACAAATAACTCCAAAATTGCCCTCTAAAGGACTTGTACCAATGTATGCTATACAAAATGTCTAGTTCCTCATATCCTTTGCTAAAATTTTCAGAATGGATCTTTGCCAGTCATACAGGTAGAAAATAGTATCTGTTAATAGAATGATTTTTTTCTTTTATGTGCATACTGTTGTGTTTTTATTTTGCTGTTGGGTTACTAGTCTAAAAGTTCTTTATATATGAGGGGTCTTCAAAAAGTTTGTTGAAAAAATTCCAGTATCTTTTAAATCTGTTTTTCCACTAACTTTTTTAAGTCTCCTTGTATTATAGAACTGATCACTCTATAATAGAAGTTTCACATGTTATCAAATAGGCATTTGTCTTTACTTATAATGGGTTTTATCATGTAGAATTTTTTTTTATGTGTGGAGTTTATCATTACTTTCTCTTATGATTTCTAAATAAGAGATCACAGAAAGTCCTTTCCCATCCCAAGACTATAATTTTCCAATGATTTCTTTGAGTTCTTTTAAGATACTGATTGATACCGATGAAATTCTGAAAACTCAAAAATGGCCCCATGTATTCATTTCTACTCTGGCCAGATTAATTGTATGCTTTTTTAAGCATTCATCTTCTTCATGGGAACCACAGTTCTCTTTCCTTGGGGTTTTATATTTGATCAATTTATATTAGATTTAGTTCAGTTATTCACAGTATTACCAGCTATAAACAGATTCCATCTATATGCATGATTACTGCTGTTTAAAACCATTGTATATATTTTACCGCTAAAATCTTATGTATCTTTTCTGTTTTTCTTTAGCCTCTATAGTAACCCAGGTGGACTGCCTCCTTATGCTTCTCAGGGTTTCTCATTTCTTCCTCCATATCCCCCACAAGAAGCTACCAGGACTATCACTTCTGTATCCGTTGCCGACACTGTTTCTTCAACCACAAGTTATACCACGGCCAAACCTGCTGCTCCTTCATTTAGCATTCTTTCAAGTCTGCCGTTACCCATTCCCACGACAGATACTTCAGCACCAGTTAGTATCTTTGTGTATCTTTATTTTTTATTTTTAAACCTATCAGTCAGTAAGCCATTTATCATATGCTTGCATTGTGCCAGCTTCTAAGGAACAAAAAGATAAAGCAATGAAATCATTTTTCAATCAGAGTAGCAAACAGTACAGTAGAGGAAACCAACAAATAAGTAAGTACTTACACATTGAAAACTTCCTATAGAATAGAGAGATACACAGTCTATGGTTATATTGGATACACAGCTGAGGGAATAGTCAATGCTTGCAGGGACACCTTTACAAAAAATACTTTAATCTTCAATCCTCACACCATGCCTGATACTCAGTAAAATGAGATGAATAAACAAATGAATAGATTCATGCTTTTGAGGATCAGAGTAGTTTAAAAGATGGTTATGAATTTTCTAGAATAAGAAGGGGCAGTTAGTGTATCTGGCATTCTCTGAAGACATGAAAGTGTTGATGCAGGCACGAAACATAAACCAGATGGTCTGTGTGTGAATCTGTCTATGATCAATCTCTCTGGCCATTGTTTAGGCTAGAGAGATAAGGTGTAACAAGTGATTGTATAGGAGATGCAGACATCATATTGTAGGTGTTATGTTGTATCATGGTAAGGGTTCCAGGTATCCTGTTGCTGGTTAAAAAAAAGTGTTTTTCAAAAAAATTAAGATGGTAACTTGACATGTGGGATGTAACTGAAGAAGAACCAAATATTTAGTGCATGAAACATATAAAGAGATTTTTAAACATTCATTTTCACCCCTTAGAAGTGAATAGCATCCACAGTGTAAAACCTTATTACATCCAACAATACTAATTTCAGAATATATAATCATTTAGAAAATGAACACAGGTGTGCTTTATTTTTCTAAGTCATTTCATCACTGTATTAATGAATAGTATATGAAAAAGCTACAAATTAGTATTATATATACTAACCTGGAGCCCTGGTGTGGTGCTGTGGGTTAATGCACTGGATTGCAAAGTCTGTTAGAGCCACAAGGTTGGCAGCAGTTCAAGTTCACCAGCTGCTCTTAGGAAACCCTATACAGTGTCACAATGGGTCGGAACCAACTCGACGGCACTTAAAAACAAAAATAACATACTGCTCACCTACTGTACTATTTTATTAATAAAATATAATTATTTGTACTTTGTGAAATAATTTTTTATATGTATGCTTTTCTCTTGATATAAATGTATTCATATATATAAATCCACAAATAATTCTCCACATTGTCACAGATACACTTAGATTTATTTTACAGTCATCTATTTGCCTTAAAAAGAGAACTAACATTGGTGCTCATATGATCACCCTCCCTCTCAAAAAAAAAAAGTTACAATGAAAAAAAATAAACTGAAGGAAGAAAGGGAGAGTATAGATTGAACTGTAAAGTTGAAGCTATAATAGTGAAAGCAGTTAGGAGAAGTGGTACATTTAAACTTATTTAAACTTATTTTTGTAAGCAAATGAAAACAGTTGCAAAGATGGTTGGAATTTAATGCTATTTAAAACTCCTTTTAGATAAGCCAAAATGGTTCTGGTTACAAGATGCCAGATGTCCCTGATGCATTTCCAGAACTCTCAGAACTAAGGTAAAAAACTTGAAGAGCATATTTGGCATTTGTTACTTTTATTTTTCATTGCAAACTAGATCATCATTGTCATATTTACATTGTATAAAAGGGAACACAGTGGCTGTAGGGTAAGCACACTAGCTACTTTATGGGAGAAAGATGAGGCTTTCTGCTTCTGCAAAGATTTACAGCCTCAAACCCTATTTAGATTTTCTATGAGTCAGAACCAACTTGATGGCACACAATAATTACAACAACATTGAATAGAAAGAATTTTCAAAGTCTAGCTATGCCTATATTGTAGTTCTCTTAGTGGAAATATTTTATAAGTCACTGTTAGGTCTTGTAGGTTGTATGTATTGAGTGACTAGTATATATCCAGAGATTTTTCATGAAGCTGGGAATGATAATAGTTACCAAAATAACAAGGTCATTTTTCTCATTTCACTTACATTCTTTTGAAAATTATTTTTAAATGCATGCTTCTTGAAGATTTCATTATATATCTTGGCCTATTTTAGACCTTTTTATTGTTTAATTAATAGAACTTTGTATGTGGTAAAATAGACTAAAGTTATCAAATTATTGTTAAGGTATTTCTACAGAGCTAAAATTTGTGGCAAATAAGTTTGTACCATTCAAGTTTATGGCATTTTTCATGAACCTCTGTTCCTCTAAGATGCTACATGAAAAAGCAGTTTTGTGACGACTCAATTTGAGGAAACACTTCATCTTTTATGCCCCCAACTAAAGAGTACAATACTCATAAAGCCCCTATTATTACTATGTTGGAATGAAAGGAATGCAAAGAAGCTTCTTATATTATCTATGAATTTAACTTCTTTGAATTTACATTATTATTAGATGACGCATATGCTTTGTAGAAATAGAGCATAAATTTTACTTATCAGAAAGCCACCTGGTTCCTGTCAGGGAACTTGAAGTAATAAGTGATATTCTAAAGCAATGAAATTAAACAAAAGAAAAAATATTTCAATATGTTACTGCTCTCATATTTTAAGGACCTGCCTCAGCTGAATAAGGAAGAGCTCTAGTTTCATCCTTTTTTCTTTTCCTAAGTTGATTTTGTTATTGATTATTAATTTAAACCACTCTGGTAGCGTAGTGGTTACGAATCGGGCTGCGAACCTTAAGGTCAGCGGTTCGAAACTACCAGCCGCTCCGCGGGAGAAAGATGAGGCTTTCTACTCCCGTAAGGATTTACACCCTCGGAAACCCTGTACAGGGTCACTATGGGTCGGAACCGACTCGACGGCACTTAACAACAACAACAACAAATAATTGTGAACACTTCCCCATAGTTGCATCAGTGTATCTATTAGACCAGAATTTACTGCTACAGATTCTGTAAGAATGCAGGCTATTTTATGTTCATCCATTGTGGTTTCAATTTTATTTGCTATTAAGGTTAAAATTAGCCTTCTTAGATTTATTTATAAAAATAGGTACCTTAGAAGTTATTTAGAACCCTATTGGTGTTAGATGAAATTTTAAAATAATGACTATTTATCCTCATGGGGAAAAACTGGATGACTGATTTTCATTAACAACATTTTATTTCTCTTGTGTTTCTAGTGTGTCACAACTCACAGATATGAATGAACAAGAGGAGATATTACTAGAACAGTTTCTGACTTTGCCTCAACTGAAACAAATCATTACTGACAAGGATGACTTAGTAAAAAGTATTGAGGAACTAGCAAGTATGTCTTCTCTTGCTTCGGCTCATATTTTCGATGAAAAATGTGCTGTTTACTTAGAAATAAACCAGTGATTTATCTTATAGGAAAAAACCTTCTTTTGGAGCCCAGCTTGGAAGCCAAACGGCAAGCTATTTTAGATAAGGTGGGTTTATTATTATTTTGGAGACTATAATTATGTAATTTAAAAAATAAAATCTAACAATATTTTTATTTTTCTTTTAGTATGAATTACTTACACAAATGAAATCTACTTTTGAAAAGAAGATGCAAAGGCAACATGAACTTAGTGAGGTAAGGTTGTTTCACTTTTTTCCTTTACCATTTAAGAATTTTTTCTTAATGTACATGAAACACATTTTTACTTTCATTATTATCTGAAGCATTTGTTAGACATCTGACTTTATAAGGCATAGTACTATTAAATATAGATAAAAAGCTGTCAGAAATTAGTCATTATACAGAAAGACTTCAAAAAGTTCATGGAAGGTAATGGAATTTTTCCATGAATTTTTTGAAGCCCGCTTGTAAATCATTTCTGCTCATGCAGTAGTGCATTTGGTTTCAGGATGTAGAAAATTGTGAAAATTACCCATAAATAATTTATGTAAAGTCTGTAATCCTTGTCATAAAACTTAAAAACTAAAAACTTCAACTTTGGGAGTCTAACCAGCAGTCTTCAAGAAAATTCAAGAGAACCCTCTGCATTCCAGAAATTACTAGTACAAAATGAAGTGGTGGTGTTGGTTACATGCTATGGAGTCAGTTCCGACTCATGGTGACCCTGTATAGGGATTCAGAGGATGTAAATCTTTATAGGAGCAGAAAGCCTCATCTTTTCTCCTGTGGAACAGCTGGTAGTTTCAAACTGCTGGCTTTGGAGTTAGCAGCCCGACTTGTAATTGCTACACTATCAGAGCTCCTGAAAAGGAAGTGGAGGAAAAGCTAATTTAAAGTAGCAACGAAACTGTAAAATACTTAGAACTAAAGTGAATTAGAAAACTTTACTGTACAATATGAAGACTTGAATAAATGGAGCAAAATGGAGTATTTATGGACTGAAAGATAGAGTATCATTAAGTTTTTTTGTTGTTGTTACAGTATCATTAAGATTTTATTCTTCTGAAAATAATGTACATTGAACTTAATATTGTTGTTAAGTTTTGTACAGTCGGTTCCGACTCATAGTGACCCTGTGTAGGGTTTTCAAAGAGCAGCTGGTGAGTTTGAACCACCAGTTCCAATTAAAATCCCAAGAGTCTTATTTTCAGTATTAGCAGATAGAGTTTTAAATCCACCTAAATGAGTAAATGGGTAAAAGTAGTCAGGACGAGTATGATCAAAAAGAAAAAATATGAAAGACTTCCCTTTCCCAGTTTAAAAATGCACTGTACAACTTGATTATTTAAAACAGTAGTAGTTTAGTAGGGAGAGAAAAATAATTCTTTGCAATAGACTTCAATTCTGAAGCAGACTCATGTACATGAATAAAAGGGCTAGGGGAAAATAGAGGATCACATGTCATATTATTGGGTAACCACTTAGGAAAAAATTAGATTCCTACATCATACCATACACAGAAAGATACTCCATATAGAGCAAATATCTAAGTGGATACTGTAAAATTATGAAAGGCAGTTATAGCCTCAGTTGTTTTTTGTAAGATTGTGGTGGGAAAAAACTTTCTAAGCCTGACACAAGAGGAAGCATAAGGGAAAAGATTGGTTTATTTGGCTACATACAGATGTAAAACTTGTATATATTAAAGATCATAAACAAAATGGAAAGTAAAGTGAAGAAAAGAGCATAGATATTTGTAGCATATACAGCATATAAATACTAATACCAGTGATCCTAGAGACTCCTTATTAATGGAAATTTTATATTAGAATTGCACCAAGACATTCTCAAAATGCTTATATGCAGGGAAAAGAAAAGAAAAAACAAGACCCTTCTCTAGATATGCTCACTCAGAATCAATCTTCTAGCATTTCATGATACCACTAGTTTCATTAATATGGCAACCTACCCTGATTTTATACTTAAAACCTGACCCAGTACTTAGCACAATAGATATTTAATGAATAAATGAACACATTTGAAAGGATATCCAACCTTACTATAGTTTTAAAAAATAAAAATAAAACATCATCCATATGAACCAACCAATGCTGGCAAAGGCATTCCTAAACATTCCTGTGTGTCTTGTCTTTACCTGGGTTTAGTATCAGTTATGCTTGCTTCATAAAATGAATTCACGAGCTTTCCTTCCTTTTCTATATTCTGGAGTAGATTGAGTATAATTGGTGTGAGCTCTTGTCTGAATGTTATTAGACTTCACCAGTAAAGCCATCAGGCCCAGACTTTCTTTTTGTTGGGAGATTTTAAGTGACCTGATCAATTTCTTCTTTTGTTATAGGTCGTTCAAGTTTTCCTCTTCAGTCTGTGTTAGTTTAGGTAGGTGGTGTTTCTAGAAATTTGTCCATTTCTTTTGAATTTTCAAATTTGTTGAGTATAATTATTCATAGTATTTTTTTTTAATTTCCATTAGTTTTGTGTAACATCACCCCTTTAATTTCTTACTGATGTTATTTACTTTTCTCTCCCTGTGTTAGATTTGCCAGTGGTTTGTCGATTTCATTAATATTTTCAAAGAACCAATTTTTTGTTTTATTGATTCTTTCTGTTCTTCTGTTTCATTTATTTTTGTTCTAATCTTTATTATTTCTTTGCTTCTTGTGGTTCTAGGCATACTTTGCTGTTCTTTTCTAATTGGTGGAGATGTTGGGTTAGGATGTTGATTTTGGTTATTTCTTTTTGGATGTGTGTATGCTTATTGCTACAAATTGCTGTCTGAGCACTGATTTGTGATCTTAGACGATGCTTTGTTATATTTCATTATTGAGGGTTGCTCTGTGGGCTAACATTCTGGAAAATGTTCCATGTGCACTAGAAAAGAATGTGTTATTGTTGATTATGTTGTTCAGTTCTTCTGTGTTTTTGTTGATTTTCTAGTTCTGTCTTTCATCAAAAGTGGTGTTATTAGTATAAGCACTGGATTGTGAAGCACGAGGTCAGCAATTTGAGCCCATGCGTCACTCCATGAGAGAAAGACGAGGATTTCTACTCCTGCAAAGATTTACAGCCTTGGAAACTGACTCAACAGCATTTAACAACAACTATTGTAGAATTGCTGATTTCTTTAGTTCTTTTAGAGTTTGATTTATGTATTTTGAGGCTCTTTCATTGGGAGCATAGATATTTATCATTGGGAGCTTAGATATTGTTCAATTGGCCCTTTAACCTTTATATAATGTCCTTCCTTGTCTCTTAGTTTGTTTTTTGCCTTAAAGTATGTTTTCTTAGAAATTCTTATTTCCACTCATCACTTTTGATTGCTTGATTTGTATTTTTTAATCCTTTGATTTTTTTGTCTTTGTGTGTGAAGTGTGTCTCTTGTAGACAGAATATTGAAGGTGATCCTGTTTCCATTCTGCTACGTTTGTATCTTGATTGGTACCTTTAATGCATTAACATTCTGTAATATCAATTGATTGCATTTTTGCTTTGTGTTTTCTGTGTGAGTGTGTGTGTGGTGCTACTGGTTTCTTTGTTCCACATAATTTTCTGTACTGAATTTATTTTGTGAATTTTCTTGTCATTTTAAATGTTTACTCTATGATTTTCACTTTTATTTTGATAATAAGATTAATTAATTTTCTTGAGGTTGTATTTCTACCCCATTTTAAAACAGCCTGTTTTTTCTCGAAATTTGTTGACTTCCTTGTCATTTGGAAGTTCTACATCTACACTATTTCTCTCTTTTGCTTTGTAGTTATCCTCATTATAAATTTTTATCTCTAGCTCCCTATTTTCAGTCTTGTAGATTTGTTTTATATTAAATACTTCTATATCTGGGTTAAGTTCTGAGTGATATTACCATGTATATCAACCTCAGGTTATTTTCTGCTGTTGTTGGTTCTTTGTGCAATTAATCTTTTTAATTCTTTTTCTAAATTTGGTCTGGTTGTTACAAATTTCTTTAATTTCTATATATCTGGAAATATCCTATTTTGCCATCATATTTGAGGGACAGTTTTGCTGGATGTATGATCCTTAGTTGGTAATTTTTTCTCTCAAAGTTTTATATTTGCCTTCTTCTGCTGAGAAAACAGAGCTTAACCTTATTTCTTTTCCTTTGTAGGTTGTTGTTGTTAAGTTCCATCAAGTTGGTTTCAACTCATAGGGACTCTGTGTAGGGTTTCCGAGAGCAGCTGGTGGGTTTGAACTGCTGACCCTGTGGTTAGCAGCCCAGTGCTGATCCTACAGTGTCAGTAGGTAGCTTTTTGTTTTTCCTGAGCTGCTCTCAGGACTAGTTCCTTGTCTTTGGTTTTTGGAAGTTTGACTATATGTCTTGGTGATTTTCTTTTGGGATCTATCCTGTTTGAGGTTTGTTCAGATTCTAGAATACTTATCTTCTTGTCTTTCATGATTTTAGGGATGTTGTCTTCCAACTGTTGTTATTGTTGTCATGTGCAATGGAGACGGTTCTAACTCATAGCAACCCTGCATAGGGTTACCAAGGCTGTCAATCTTTACGGGAGCAGAAAGCTTCATCTTTCCCCCGCGGAAGAGCTGGTAGTTTCTAACTGTTGACGGTGAGATTAGCAGCCCGATTCATAACCACTACGCTATTAGAGCTCCCTTTTCTTCCAACTACTCGTCTGTAATTTTTTCTGTGCTTTTTTTTGTCTCCTCCTGTTTTGGAATTTCAATCACCTGCAAATTACTCCTCCTGTTGATGATAACCCACATAAATTGTATGCATTCTTTGGATTTCTTCCTTCTTGTTTCTGATTGTTCTTATAGCAGGCTAGTATTGAGAGACTTGACTTTAAGCTCACTAATTCAGCCTTCCATTGATTCCAATCTACTCCTTTGTCCTTTCAATGTATTGTCCATTTCTGAAACCTTAATATTAATCTGGATTTCTATTTGCAGGTTTTGTATTGTTTCTAAATTTTCATTTATTATATCTGTTTGTTTTGTAGTGTTTTCCTGAATTCTTCTAAAGTTTTTTCTGTGTTCACCTTGTTTTAACCTGCAGATTTTTCTCAATATGTTGAAGGTACCTAAATATCATTCTTTTCAATTTTTTCTCAGAAAATTTTTCCAGCTGTGTCTTGCTCACTTATTTGAGCCACTCTGTCTTGTTTCTTTGTATGAACTAAAATTGCCTGTTGTCTCTGAGACATTGTGGTGTCTGTCATTGGCTTTGTATATAATTGAAGATGATATGTTGGTGTGCTCCTAGGCACTCACCATCTCCTTCCTGGTGAGTGTGATTAGAGAATGAAAGCATGCGCATAGTTCTCTGTTTACCCTTCATACAGCTCAGTTTAGGGTGAGTTTGTCTGGTGTTGGCTGCTGTCTACCATTGACCAAGTAATTTAGGAGCTGATACTGGTTCTTTCCCAGTGGGTGGGGCTGCTGAGGGCTATATGGCAAATGCTGTACCATTGAGTGGAGCAAGAGGAAAATACACACACACACACATACAAAGCCAAACAAACAACAGCAGAAAAAGAAAAGGCATGCAGCAGCAGAATAAAAGGATACCTAAAAAGAGAATAAAGGGAAAGGAAACTAAAACCACAGAAGAGAAAAATAAGAGACAATAAAAAAAAAAAAAATACTCTAAATAAAACTAGAGAAAGAGGAAAAGATTAAAAAAAACTCTTTCAGGCCTAGAGAGCAGGACAGTTGGTTATGAGAGTTCTTGCTGTAGGATCACCACTGGACTGCGAGCCACAAGGTCAGCAGTTCAAACCCACCAGCTGCTCCTCATAAATCCTACATAGGGTCATTATGATTCAGAACTGACTCAGTGGCAATTAACAACAATAACATGCTCATTCTACAGTTCTGAAGAAGCAGAGAGCAGGGGCTATAATGAGGGTATATGAGGGTGGCAGCTGGCCATACCTTTGGTCACCAAGGGAGTGTTGGCAACAGGAGAGCATTGCCCCGTTCTCATTGCTGGTCACCAGTATGCATCCACAACACCATCACATCAGACTGCTGCTCAGATACAGTGCTTCTTGAAAAAGTTCATGGTGGTCGTACTGAGTCATATCAGCCAACAGTTCACCTATCTGTCACCTTTTTTGCTGCCCATGTTCAGTTTCTCCTAGTCATCATTCAGTCCACTTTTCCATCCTTTTCTCTGAAGCTCAGGGTTCCAGGTTTATCATCTGTATCTGTTTTATTTGGCCTCTCATATCTTTGGTGTAGAGGATCTGTGTAGAATGTATGCCTAGTCTGCTGTCACCATCTTGCCAGAAGTCTTCTACATCCTTGTGTGTGATATAACTTAGTGCTTTCTTTGGAAGGCAGAGTTCAGCTGAGGTTTCATCCTCTGCCACTCATTTAATAAATATTTATTGAGCACCAGTTACGTGCCATGCAAAGTTACTATATGATGCTGTTGTTAAGGTGCTGTTGAGTTGGTTCTGACTCATAGTGACCCACCATAGGGTTTCTGAGGAGTGGCTGGTGGCTTTGAACTACCAACCTTGGGGTTCATGGTCCAGTGCTTATCCTTTAGCACTACACCAAGAGTAAACAAAAACAAAGCCAAAAAAAATCTGTTGTCTTAAAATATATTATCTAAGAAATGACATGTTAACATTTAAACATTTTACACATTTAAACAAAGATATAAAACATTTGATGTAGACACAGAGAGGTTGGTTGATGGGTTGATGGTGCATGGAGGGATTGTAACCATGCAATGAAACGATATATGATAGGATGAATGTAAAGCTAATGTTCTCCCATGTAAACTATCACATAATTCACAGTAAAACAACAACAAAAAAAATGGTTTGATAAATGAAATGAGTGGAGAGAAAAGGTAAATGCTAAAGACCTAAATTTGAGTTATCAGTGTAGATGTGTGTTTATTTGCATACATAACAGTAATTGGATCCTTGAGACTGAAAGAGCTCATCAAGAGATTGTGACAGGGAAGAACTGAAGGCTAAACTGTGAGAGTCATGGAGATCTGAGGAGCCAGTAATGGATGCCTGAGGAGAAAAAAATAAATCAAGCTTCTATTTCCATTTTTTACTTTTTATTATTCAGGGACAATAGCCAATTCTCAAAAATTCTTAATTCCTAAGCAATAGAAATAGTTTTTATGGCTTGCTTACCAGGTAGGAGAGTGCATTATCCTCTTGAATCCTAGTGATTACTATAACCAAGCTTTCTAATATAACTTTGACACGAGTCCCACATATAGACAAATCATTCCTTTATCATTTTAACTGTTGTAAGGTCTGCACTTTAACCATCAGTAATATCCATAATAAAAATACATAAACAGAAAAATAAATTATTCGCTCACATATATAAAAACGAAATTTTTTTAGTAGTGTCCTAGAAATTTTCAAAGAGCTCTGTGTGTGCATGTGTTGGGGAGGGAGTTGACATGAGTTTTGAGTCCTCACTTATGTCAAGCACATTACATGCATTTACAGATGTCATCTATTAAAACAGGTACTGTTATCATCATGATTTAAATTCAAGGAGATTTAACAACCTTACTAGTGTCTTACAGCTAGTAAGTTATAAAAAAGATTTGAAATCAAATCTACTATGGGACTGAAAGATCAATCTCCATAAGTAGTAGATGCTTAATAAATGGTCTATTTTGTTCAGCTCAAAACTTGTTTATTTGCTAAGAATACAAATTCAGTGCCGCTAGAGTCTTGGTGTGGTGCTATAAGACAAGCACTTGACCTCAAAGTCTGAACCGCTGCTCCTCAGCAACCCTATACAGGGTCGCTATGAGTCAGAACCGACTTGATGGCACTTCAACAATGAGCTTGTCACAAAGAGTAGATTGAAAAAATAAAATACTGTTATATCTCACTGAACCCAAGGATAGGAAATGGAGTTCAATTAGACCTCATGAGAAGGACAATTAGAATCCATTTGTGTCAGAGACCACCTGTTTTCTTTTGTCATTTACTTGTACTTGATGCCGATTATGGCCAGTGAGATAGCCAGCTCCATTTCTACATCATGACTATTTAAGTGTGGTGCTGCAAGTTAATGCACTGGGTACTGCAAGGTCGGTTTGAACAACAAAGTTGGTGGTTCAAGTTCAAGAGCCATGCCTCAGGAACCCACAGGGTCACTATGAATTAGAAATGACTTGATGGCACTTAACACCACCTGTCCCAAGCTGTTAATGATAACATTATTGCTCTCCTGCTGTGTCACGTATCACCCCAAAACTTAGATGTCTACAAAAATAAATATTAATTATATCATAGATTTTTGAGGGGTGGGAATACAAAAATGGCTTTGTCTCAAGACTGCAATCAAAGTGCCAACTGGGGTTATAGCCTTATCTGAAGGCTCGCTTGTAGGGAGGACCCACTACCAGACTCATTCATGTGGTTGTTGACAGGATTTATTCCTTTGTGGGCTACTGGATTTAAGGGTTCTTGGTTCTTCATTGATTGTTGGCCAGACTTTGATCAATTCTTTGCTATGTGGGACCCTTCATAGGGTAGCTCAAAACATGACAGCTGGCTTACCTCGGAGAAAATGGAGTGCAAAAAAAAGCACACAAGATGGAAGCTTCGGTCTTTTTGAAACCCAATCTCAAAGTGATATTCCATTCCTTTTGCCATAATCTTGTCATTAGGTCCAGCCCACATTCAAGGAGAAAGGATTACATACATAGTGATTGATTTTCTTTTTCAGAGCTGTAGTGCAAGTGCCCTTCAGGCAAGACTGAAAGTAGCTGCACATGAAGCTGAGGAAGAATCTGATAATATTGCTGAAGATTTCTTGGAGGGAAAAACTGAAATAGATGATTTTCTCAGTAGCTTCATGGAAAAGAGAACAGTATGTAATACTCTTCACTTGAGGACAAATGACAATATACTATCACTTACTTAAGTATAATCAAGAGTTAAAAAAAAAGCTTTAGCACATTACTGAGCTGGAGTTTTGAGTGTTATCAGAGGAAAGTAAAAGGACTAAGAATGCTAGCTGCATCCTCTAGCACTTTAAACTTTGTGTGTACGCAAGCAACTAAATCAAGTAATAGTTGTTTTAGAAATAATATCTGTGTCATTTTGTAGCAAAGCTGCTAGTCAGCTTAAGTCAGTATAAATAGTTGTAATACACTCCTTAATAATTCGTTTTACAAGTTATTTAAAAGTGTGAATAATTTACTAAGATAAAAAGTTTAAAATACAATTGAGATGTCAGTTTCTGTTTTAATATTTTCTTTCAGTTTTTTTTTAAAGGCCATTTAGAGTTTCTTGCATTTTGAATACCTGATTTCTGAAACATCACATTTTAAAAATAACCTCTTTAATAAACTTTATAAAACATGTACTATGTAGCATATGATATCCTGCTAAGGCATGTGGGGTAGGTTGTAGTATACTCATTTGGCATGAGAGAAAATTGAAGTTTAGGAACATTAATAATCTGCCCATGATTATAGCATTAATAAGACATTGATTACTGGTTCATTATTCTATTGTACTATGTATAAATGTGCCTTGAAGCTTTTATCAGTCTTCATGGTTAATAACAGAGAATTGAAATCATTCTCATATTTTTAACATACATTTGAAATTACAAAATCTGAGAAATTGAAATAAAGATTCACACATAATTAAATTCTAGAAGTTTGTAAGCAAAAGTTATCTCCAAATAAAGTTAAGGATTTGTTTTTTAACTTCTGAGGAATTTGCTGCTTTAAACATTCCAAACTTGAAATAGCATCAATAGATGAAGTGTCTTCACTTTCTGTCATAATGTAGAAAATAGTAGGTACATTGTTTAGAAAAGTGACTGCTATTTTAAATGATTTCTCTTGCAGATTTGCCATTGTAGAAGAGCCAAGGAAGAGAAACTTCAACAGGCAATAGCAATGCACAGCCAGTTTCATGCTCCACTCTAGGTAAATTGCTGTACTTCAAAAGGTTTTATATTATTTAACTGTTCTTTCAAGTCCTCTTAGCAAGAACTATTCAGTCAGCTTATAAGCATAATTATGTCAGTGTTATGCTATATAACATATAGAATGATTTATATATTAAGCATAATAAGTAAGCATATTGTCAGTAGAAATATTTTAGATATTTTCTAAGTATGATGTTGACTTAAATGAAAAGTCTTTCTCAATATTTTATGACATTTAGAATGTAAGTTATAAATACTTCTTTCTTTTCGCTGGTATGTAGACTATTAGCATACCACCTAGTTGTCATATTTCTCAGCTGTCTCCATCATTTCCTCCTCTAAGTGAACTAGTCTCTGTTTCTTTTCCACCTCACACCAGGAGTATGCCAGTATTTTTCTGACCAGCCACCCTGACGTCAGGGTGTCATCTTCCTGCATACTAAAATGGTATTTATTAAAAGACTGCTTCCTAGATAGCATTTCTCTGCTCTGGAACCTATAAGCCTATAGCAGTAACAGTATCAACACCAAATTTCTCTTTAGTTTTAAGATTTTTGAAATCTGGCCTATACAAGGAGGCTTCCGAATATTCAGGAAAAATTCTCATTATCTTTTTATTCCATGAACCTTTTGAAGCCCCCACATACCTCAGACTATCTGTTTTCATCTCTTTTCCCCCGCCCCTTTATATTCTTTTGCATGTCATGTTTTTTCTTATACCACCATTATTTTTCTCATGTTGTTACTGGATTTCTTCCTTTCCTTCTCCATTTATCTTATTTTAGTGATGTTCTGGTTGTAAGGACTAATTCCCAGCCAAATGTTCAAATGTTGTTGTTGTTGTTTTGTGCCGTGGAGTCAGTTCTAACTCATAGCGACCCTGTACAGGGTTTCTGAGGCTGTAAATCTTTACAGGAGCAGAAAGCCTCATCTTTCTCCCACACAACAGCTGGTAGTTTCGAACTGCTGACCCTGAGGTTAGCAGCCTGATTTGTAACCACTACACGCTACATGCTAGAATGTCCCATGAGTCTCCTTGAGAGAATGAAAACATAACTAGTCACCAAAGCACCTTTTCTGAGCTTGTTTTTTCTCATCTGTACATCACTCCTTTCTTTTCTGTCTCTTGTTCCCTTGCACTTGCTCAATTGCTTTCTTAAGACACCATTCTTTTGCTACACTTGCACCTGTCCACCCAAAAACCCAGTTCCATTGAGCCGATTCCAACTAAGCCCTAATTCTATCAGCCGATAGTTCAAGCAGCCAATAAAGACTGACAAGACTCTCCTGAGTTCCCATCCAATCCCCAGGAAAGAGACTTTCCCAGGATAGGTGAGGTGTCCATCTGACCCAGTCTGTTTGGTTTGGAGATTGATGTGGTCCTCTGCCTACTTACTGGCCTGAAGTGGTAGGGAAATGACAAGGCATTTTTTCCTCTTCAGTTCACACTCATCATCTGCTCTTCTGAATCTATTTATGCGATATCTGGTTTTCCAAGTTATAAGTTTCTTAAGAGTTGATTTTCCATACCAGATTTGCATTTCCACAGTTTACAAATAAAGTAACCATTGTGAGTAATTGCTTATGTATATGTACATACTAGAATCCTTTTCTCAGCCTTACCTTTTCACAGTCAAGTCACCTCCTTATAGGTAAATCTTAACTGGAAGAGAATGTGTAGGGATGAAAAATTATCATCTTAAATCTTAGAAGTTTTAAGCACTGTTTCTTTTCTTTCCAGATTTTCCTGAAAACATGAACTGCTAAGAAAGGAATGGGACAGAAAAAACAAAGCATTATTTTATAGTTATGATTTGCAAATTGGCATTTCATCACAATGGCTGAATTCATAGACAGACTGTGTAGATTGTATATAGACTGAGACTGATTTTGTACAGGTTAGAATGAGAATTTGCTTTGAGAATTTTTTCTGTATTCTGTACTAAAAATATTTATTATTGATACATCTCATCATACTTATGTTCCATGCTAATCCCCTTATTAGAAATCAAATACCTATGCATGTAATATTAGCTAAATTTCAGTATTTTATAGAATTACTTCATTTAAATTTGTGTTTTTAATTTGAAACCACCTCATTTTTTAATCAGAAATGGTGTTACTTAGATTTTTCCCTTATCGTCTTTTTGGAAAAAACAACAGTATTTCTCCTCTTCCTTTCTAGATATTTTCTGAAAAGCAATTTGTTCTTAATTATTCATAGTGTTAGGAAACACCAAACCTGCCAATGTGCTGTCTCAAAAAAAAAGTAACTTTTAATAATTATAATAAATCAAAAAGGATAAACTACTTGTTTTTATATATGTTTTATTTGTAAAATTAAATATGCATTTAAAAAGCAATACTGTTGGACTTGTGGTTAGATATGGATGTTTTCTGAATTCCTAATGTTAAAATGAAAGAAAATCGTGAATAATGAAATCAGAAAATCTTTGAGACTTAAAAAGGTAATATCGAAATCACAAATTAAAGCATACTTTTGTTTAAATTTCACACCAATACGATTGTCATTCCAAACACCAGCATACAGTACAGCTTATCTCTTCTTTTGTTCTTCCTAGACATGGTTTTGGTATTAGAACTTTAAGAAGATCCACTTTATTTTCTTACACTTGGAAAGTACTTAATACTTAGTCGATGTTTGTAGAAAGTCAGTAAAAATTTAGTAATATTGGGTAAAGAAAAAAATAACTTGATTAATCATCTGTCTTCCTGGCATTGCTTCAGGCAGGTTGTTTAATCTTCAAAATGGCCATATGAAGAGGTATAATTATTATTATTCCTGATTTATAGGTAAGATAACTGAGGCAAAAGTTGCTTTTCAAACTTGTGGCAGAGTCTTCTGGGATTCAGAAAGCTTTCTTTACTGTAGTGGCCATTCGAGCTTCAATTTTACCATCATAACACAATGCAGGACTTAATAGACCCAATCTTTCTTTTGCAAATAATCATGTAACTGTTTTCGAAACCAAGTCTAGCCAACAAAAACAGAGCAGCAAACCACAGCAGTTTTATTGAACGCCCACTAAAAATAAGGCATTTTAAAAACACTGTACAAAGGTGACTCAAACTTGGTTTAGGTGCTTGTGTACCTATCTCTCCACCAGATATTAAAAAAGAAAGTTTTTATACAGAACAAATCTCTTCTACATAGTCAGTATGATTTATCTCACTGATTTTTATTCTTTAGACTATCCCAGTTTCATGCTATACCTGTTAACACAGCATGGTTTCTCCTTCCCAAATCAATTCATTAATAACCTCATCACAGCCCAGTTAAACAGAAGTGTGTGATCACAGTTCTATGTATGACTACTATGCCAAAGGAAAGAGAAATGCATCTCAAAGCAAAGATTCTGATTTTAGCATCTCTGATAGACGACTAGATGGAAATCATAATGGTAAAGCTTAGTAATTATTTGACTGTTCAGGGTGGTAGTTTGTAATGGGTAGACCTTAAAATCTAGTATCAAAATAGAGGGAAGTTCTAGATCAATGAGGTATACACTAAAGATGTTTCAAGGTCAAAAGAAATTTCTAGGGATAAATTGAGAATAGGGAATTACTGCTTGGATAGAGGTTATTTGACAAGTTGATCATACTTGATATATGTTGAGTTGTTTCCCAGGGTTTCCCTTTTCCATACCTTCCTTTGTATGATTTGAACTCTAAAAAGTACTAACTCTGGGCAGTAATCTGCTTTGGGTGAACAATTGCTTTAGACCAATTACCCTAAAAAGCTCTTCTGATTGACCTTTGATTTAAAATGAAAACAGGGATTTATTCTTGATGTTGGACTAGCCATGTGCGAAAGCATAATAAAATTTTAATAAACAATAAGCATAACTCTTTTTATATAAATTTCAGGTCTCAGGTAAACCTCTAAAAAGAAGACTAAATAAATATATACTTATCTCTTGTAACAAAGTTGGGGGAACCCAAGAATATTTATGGCTTTGATGTAGAAAGTGTTACATTAAAAAATTAAAATTTAAAGTACCAAATATTTATATGGTTTGTTTTTGAAAATAAAGGTATAATCCTGTTTGGCATAGTTACTGTGTCTTTTTTGTTAAATTTTATTTCCTTTGGCAGAAGTACTCTGCCAAAGAGAATGAATTAAAGTCACATCTTCAATAGGCGGCAGCAAAGTTTCTAAGAGTTAGTAACTACAAGAGTAACATGAAGCAAGTTATAAAAATGCAAAACCAATACTTATGTATCCTAAGTATTTATTATAATAAGTTATTCTCTGCTACATACAGTATATTGCAGAAAATGAATAAACATTCCTGATACTTAAATAATTTGAGAACTCTCATTAGAAAATGCTCAAATGTTACTTACATTCTAAAAGAATTATACTTGCCTTGTTTTTTAAATTAATAGAGTACTTTTGTATTACAGGTCTTTAATATGTTAAGTTATATAGTTAAGGTTAGTAAAGTAATTATCTAAATATGAATAACAATTATACTATTATTATTTCATCTCTATATTGCTACACTAAATCTCTCATCATCTAGATTTCAATAATGAAGCTTTCTTGTCTTATTTTATACCCATTTCAGCAAAACTGAACGTATTTTCGTATAAAAGAATTTCACTTACTCAAAATATTGATATAGACTGTAAAAGTTAAATCTAAATTAATTCTTTTTATCCTCAAATGCACTAATATTTAAAAGCATACAGTGAATATTATTAATCTGTCTAAACATAGCAACTTTTCTGCTCTGGTACTACTTCAAATGTTTTGTTAACTCATTTAAGTCCCATTTTGATCATAAGACAAGGAAGGATTCTTCTTTGAATGTACTTTTTAGCAAAACATAAAAACTCATTACTTCAAGTAATCAGTAGTCATTGAATGTTACTAATGTTAATTAAACCATTTTCTAGTTCTTAACTGGAATTTTCCTCCCTTGAAATTTTATATTGTTATTCTTCAGGGATCAAGCTGGTGGTTGGCCCACA